GGGGGGGGGGGGGGGGGGGGGGGGGGAAAGGCACCAAAAAACTAAAATCATCGGAGACTGATGTACAGCCACAAAACACCGTTGCAGACACTACAAGATTTCCAGTCTCGAGGATCAGCGGGCGGGGCGTGCGAACATGCATGGCACACAATCCTGCTGCATGATGCCCCGGCCTCGTTGGGGGCTGGGGAGGGAGGTACACGTACAGCACCGTACCTCGGGCATCCAGCGGTACCCTGAAACCTGGACCGCCACCGTGTGAGAGCCGCCCGCTCGTTGTCCCTGCAAAGCATTGAAAAAAATCAGTGATGTCACGTTTTCGCAGGAAGGGACGTTGAGAGGCAGCAAAAAAGACCCCCAATTCAACGACAAAGTTGCAACGCAAAAACTTCCAACCTCCCGTCGCACCGAGGTGTGATACCGCGTTGTTCTCGAAAACTGTTTAGTGCAGAGCCAAGGCAATAGTATTTGAGTTCACACGCCATGTCGGAAGGCGTCAACAATGCAAAGGATGGTAACCCTGCAATACCAGTAGTGCAAAGGCTGCAATGTCAACAAAAAGACCCTCCGCACGTAGTCACAAAAAAAACGTGAAATGTCCAGACGCTTGAAATGAGCGAAATGTCCTCTGGATGGAACCGGAGCGTAGCATGGCGCACAATGCCGACTTTCCGGCACACGACGCCACTTTACGGCGTACAACTACACGTGTAGACAAACGCCTTCGCGTCGCCCACACCCCGCTGATGCTTTCCGGATCATGCTCCTGCATCAGGCAAGGCAACGAAATCCCAACCTTAAGAAAGAAGACAGGATCAAAGCACCCATTCATACTACCGCCGTCGTTGATTGCATCTATGTTGTGCACCTTTGGGCCTCCTCCCGCCTCTCTTGCGGCAACGGTAGGCAGAGTGGCGCCGCGACGATCCCCCAGGCCTAACGCCTCCGTCTGCATGTCGAACGGCACCTCTTGGACCCGCCCGTTCCGCACGACCGTCATGGTGGCGGTGAACAGAAGAACCCCTCTCTCGCCGTCCTGTCGGAAACGAGACCAATCCCATCGCACACCAGCAAGGCAAGTATTTATGTGAGGCGCTTCCGCTGCTACACAAGTCAGTCACTACGAGCGTACCGTAATTGTGCGTGTTATGGCACCGGGGTGCGATCGTTTATTAAATCATTCCTATCTTGGTTTTGTTATCGCCCCCCGGTGCCATAACACCGATGGGTGCCATAACACCGATACCGGTGCGGAATCGCACTTAAAAATCATTTCGTTCTGAATTTCGGCGCACCCGGTGCGATGACACCGATAGGTGCGATACTCAAGGAACGAACACAGGCGTTCCCTGGTACAAAGTACCGTAATTGTGCGTGTTACGGTACATAAAATGAGGCGGCTGGTGCTAGTTTGGGGTAGACAGACGCTGTGGCGCTGTGGCTCCCTGTTGGGAAAGATACACGGAACGGGATCGTTTTCTTTCAACCTCTTTGCCGGTGGCAAGTCCCTCATTTGTTGGTCGGTGTTTCCATCTGTCTTTTCTGCCTCAAGGGGCATGTCACCGGTACAAATGTAGTAGCGATTGCGAACTCCTTCTTGTTCGGTTGATTGGAGGTGGGGGATGCGTTCTGTGTGCTTGATTGAGTGGCTTGAGTGTATTCGATGCACAGATTGTAGCGGAAAAAAGTGAATCCTTTGTACCTCACCTCGACGGTACGATATACACACATGAAAGGAATGGCAATTGGCACCTACCGGACCCTCAGCCGATCGTTACATGCAGTTCGACACGTGGCCGGAGGGTACCGACACCTTGCGGATGCACGCAATTTTACGTCCAGAGCAGGTTTTATATCGTTGATATCTCGGGTGCGTTTACACCGATACCGGTGCGGAAATGCAATCAAATCATGCCGTTCTCGATATTTTTGCGCACCCCGGTGCCTTAACACCGATGGGTGGGAAATTAACGATGGGTGCCATAACACGCACAATTACGGGAATGGGCCTCTCGTTTTTATTTCCTCGACGTCGGCAAGCTACTGACTACCTCGGGTGTTTTACTGCGGATTACTCTCAACGTCCACAACGCGTGTAAGCCTTCTACCCACACTCTGTTCGAACTGCTACTGTACCGGGAAACGGAAAATGAAGGATTGCTTCGCGTAGTAGTGACAGCAGGGTCGTACGTTTTCCGCCCTTTGCGCTTTGCAGCGGTTTTCAAGTGCAAGACCAGAGCAAATGGCCAGAGAGGAATGTCCTGCGTCCCCGCCAGTGCCCAATAGCGTCTCAACAACAAGCATTCCAATATACGACTCTCACTCTGAGGTACTGGAGACGGCGAGTCTCCTCTCCCGCCCGGGGCTGGAAGTACCTCATCCTCTGCCCGGTCAGGTTGAGGATCGTGAACGACATGCGAGACTCGAGGGCCAGCGGCGCGTAGAACTCGTGGCACACGGGAAACCGCGGCATGTTTAGCGGCCCCGACGCTCCCACCTTGCCGCCGGCACCGCCGGCACCGTCGCTGCCCAGGCTGGACTGCCGCTCAGGCACCACCGACTCGTCCGCGGGCCAGGCGGTGACAAACACATCGTCGTACTGCAGCACCTCCCTGTGGCGGTAGCGCGAGACAGCGCTGTCCTGACTGCCGGGCGGTGGCTCCTTGCCCTTGCCGCCGCCCGCCGCGGACGACGGCGTAGGGGCGGCAGGGAACGAGGAGGAGTCCTCGGCGTCGTCGCTTCCCGGCGCCGTCTGGGCGACGCGCAAGATCTCGACCCGGCCGCGAAAGCTCTCGGCGTCGAGCTCGTTGAAGATCCGGGTCATCTGCTCCTGCATGTCGCTGAGCGTGTCCAGCAGGGCCGCGGTGACGTTCACGTGGAGTGGGCAGCGCGCCTTGACCATGAGGCCTGCGCCACGCCGCGTGGAGCTCTCAGCGAGGACGTCGCACCTGCCGCCGGCCGTCGGAAGGCACGCACGTCCCCACGTGGTAAAGGCAAGAGAACATGAATGACACACACCCAAAGGGTGTTTGATACGGGTCTTGTCTGCTACGACACGCTCAGGAGAACAGTCACATAGACACTTGGCAACACCAAGCGACCGACATCTTCTCCGTCTGGCTTAGAGACAACGCTCACAACTGGGTATCCGGCGGAAACTTACTGAATCAAGCTAGATTTATGTACAGTAGCGCCTTCCTTGTTGGGACAAACCAGAGCCGTGTCGAGCCCGCCCCAAAGCAAGGTTCGCCGCTCGTGTGTCATCGGAGATGCAGCCGGCCACCAACCACCGCCCCGCGGCAATAGCTTGGTCCCAGAGTAAGCCCTCGCCTAATCACACTACTGGCAGCACGTGTATTGTCACCATCTTATCACCTCATCAACCGCAAACAAACCTCCCAAGATGTTGCTCAACTATTGTTGAGTTGAGAAACAACCAACACCAAGAACGGCGACCCAACAATCCAACGCCAGGTGAAATACGTACCTGAAAGGATCGAGCAGTGCTTCCCAGCATCGTAGCGTGTTGTTGAAGTACTCCGCCCACAGCCGCGTCTGAACCGTCACGTTCATGACCGCCGCGCGCGGGTCCGCCGCTTCTCCCTCCGCCGCCTTGCTCACGCCGTTGACTCTGGGGTGTGACGCAGACCCCCCCCCTGCCGTAGCACCCCCGCCGGCGCCAGACACCGCCGCCACCGCCGTTGTCGTAGACAACCCGCTCGTCTCTGTACGCTTTCGCCCGAGCACAAACTTGACCGTCTTCGTCGGCGTACCTGAGCCCGCCGGCGCGTCCTCACCGACCGTATGCAGTGCATCGCCGTCCAGCTGCACCCTGGAGACAGAACTCGTCCCCCCCCATCGCCGAGAGGCCTTGAGCAGGTTCGTTCGGCTGCCGGTGTGCACGCCCAAGCGGCTCGAGACCCCTCCTCCTCCTCCTCCTCCTCCTGCCTGACCAGCACCATCCCCCCGTTCGGGATCGCTCCGAGTCTTGGCGGTGGCCGCGGCGCGGGTGCCGTGCCAAGTGTGTGAAAGCGGGAGGTCTTGGCCTACAGCGGGCGTCGTCGTCGCAGTCGTCTCAAAACCGGCCGTCGGCACCGTCGCCGATCCCGCCGGCATTGCTCGGGCTGGAGCGGACGAGGCGGGGCGAACGTCCGGCGGGGCGGCTTCGCCGCGGCCGTGTCGGGCGGATGATGACGATGACGATGACGATGACGATGACGGCCTCCGTCCCCGAAGCAGGCGGCGCTCTAGCTCGTTGTCCTCGCTCTCGAGACGGTTCTCGATGACGCAGGACACGCTGGCGAGGCAGAGCTTCATCACGGGAAGGTGCAGCCCGAGCACCTGAAAGGAGACCGACCGCAGCGGCAGTTTACGGACGTAGTTGTCGCGCGGGCCCACACCAAAAGGGCTTGTTATCTATGCAACGGGGATCAAACCTGCATTCACAATTGGTGATGAGCAACAACAAAAATACATCGACACCGTCGTCTCTCACCCATAATCGTAACTACCCATTCTTTTTGCTGCTTGGTCTCGCCACGATAATTGGGTGGACGGTTACACACCGACTGACCGTCCCTGGAAAGGACAAACAAAAATATCAAACCAAGTCACCCGGCGCCCCCCCGCACCTGGTCAACGATGAGCACCCGCAGCCCCGTCAGCATCACCGCGAGAGCCATTGTGAAGGGCGGCAGCGGCTCCTTCTCGTCCTCGTTGGTCTCCACGGGAGGATCGTCTCTGCCCCTGGGCTCACCTGCCGCCGCCGCTGCCGCCGCGCCGCGAGTCTCCACCTCGACCTCATCCCCCCGTTCCCTCGAGACCCACGCCGGTTTCGCTGACGGCAAGGCCGCCGCCGTTGCGGCACGGCCCCGGACACTGCCGTCTTCCATGGCTTCGCCCTCCGTAGTGGAGGCCAAGGGAAGCGAAGAGTTGCGCGGGCGGCGGGAGATGACGTTGCTCATCCGTCGCAGGCGGCCCTCCGTGTTCGGCTGCTGCTGTTGCTGTTGCCCTCGCTCGACGAAGGACAGGGAGGCGTCCGTGCTTCGGCGCTTCCGGCCGAAGAACCGCCTCCCCGAGGTGCCGACCTCTCCTGTGCTCTCGTCGTCTGAGTCCGAGTGATCCTGGGGTGTATACACATGCATTCATGCCAAGAAACGGTATTCGCGCGTGGGTACTGTAAGTAATCGAATGGGTCGGGAAAGGGCAAGTGGTACAAAAATCGTGACAGAGACGGGAGGGTCGGAGAGATGGCTATTAGGGAAGGGCGCGGTGAAGATACGCATCGGTATGGTGTGGGTGTGCGTGCCCTGCTGCTGTATTGACGGATTGGTGTATTTGGTGGTGCAACTCGCTGACCGCACAGACCACAGAAAAACGTTTGTTCTACCAATCGGGGCAGGTGGCGTAAGGCTCGTGATGGACTGACTTAATACTCAAATTAGGCCCCAATAGATCAATCAGCCTACAATTCTTGACGGGTACACGACTGTGCACCTTCAAAGGCGGGTTCCAAAGTCACCACGACCGGATGTAGCAGATAAGAAGCAAGATTCCGCCGCAAATCAAAACGCAGAGTCCATCAAAACAACCATTGATTCACCACCACGCCATGGAACCAACACTTACGCCGCCCCCCATCCCGAACCCGGCCAGAGAAGGTAACGCCGACATCTTGCTCTTCAGCAGGCCCGACATGCGCAATTGCTGCTGCGCCTGCCCTCCCCCACCCGCTGGCGCGCCGCCGCCGCCGCCACCACCGGCGGCAGCGGCGCCGAAGAATGCGGCGCCACTCTCTTCCCCTTGGGCGAGCTCGGTCATGGGTTCGTCTCCCAGGATAGGGGAGTGTAGCAGGTTCCGCCCTGTTGCTCTCCCTGACGAGGACAATATGGTCTTGAAGGCCGGCCGGACGTAGTTTTTCGGAGAGCTTCGCGGTCCAATCTGCGAAAAAGCATCCCGAAGTTTGGGGAGACAAATGGGGAATAGACCGCGACGAGCAAGGGAGGAAACGCCGTCGCCGATATCAAGCCCAGATAGGTCGCAGCGAGGGCGGTGTAAAACGGGGCCTCGATGAAAGCTCTAATTCACAACCCATGAGATTCAGGGCTACGATTCTTCAAGACTCAACCACACCGCTCTGGTTGATCAAGGACAGCAGCGTCACAAAAAGCACTGTTCAGACGCGGATAAAAGTCGACTACTTGGTACGAATGTAAAGCCATAGCTTCCCCCATACACCCACCCACCTCTCCAAGAACCGAAGAGCCGCCTCTCGAAGGCCATCGCCTACCGGGAGACGTCGCAGGCATCCACAGCGCGTCGGTAGGGGGGCTGATCGAACGAAACTCCGACACATTGCCGCTCCGGCCTTTATCGCCATCCTCTTCTCGCCCAGGCGGCACCCCAGTCGCCGCCGCCGCTCCTGCTCCTGCGGAGCCTCCCGTGACCAAAGCACCAACGCCGCCGCTGCCGCCGCCATCGGCAAACGCGGGTCTCAAGACCGGCGAAGTCGACGAAGGCGAGGCAAAACCGGTGGTGTACTCTGCCACCGCGCGATCGTGTTCGTCAGCCTTTCTTGCCCCTCCTCCCGCTCCGACGGCACTCGTTGTTCCCGCCTCGAGAGGCACCTCGCCGCCGCCGCCGCCCTCCGCCCCCGAGGACGGATCTGCGGGCGGCCCTACCTGCTCGGCCTCTGGAGGGGGCTCCGCCGAAGGCGTAGGGGGGGGGTTCGGGCCCAGGAAGACCATGGCGGACGCGGCGGCGAAGACGAGGTCCTCCACCGAAGCGACGATGTCACCCGCCCGCGGGCCGAGGTCCATGGACGGGTGCTCTTGGGCGGGGACGGCACAAGGCTGGCGAAGGCGAAGGTGCAGCTGCGAGAGAAGAGAGAGGATTTAACGACCAAGGGCGAGAGACGTAAGGAACGCAACAAGTGTTGATTGGGGGGTATGTAGGCGCGACGGATGACTGCGGTGAGAGCAGGCGGCGAGCGTCAGTTCTACTAGACGAACGCACAGCGAGAGACAGGCATATCGCGGTGCCCCCGATGACTTCTTGCCAAAAGAAAAAGACGCTGGGGGGGCAACTCCATTTCCAGAATTGGCACGGGAGATTCGGGACCAAAAGAAGATGAACGCCGGGACCGTGATTTCTTGGCCCTAGTCGATTCCGCAACCCATGTACAGCACCACTCATGAACGAGAACACGGAAGCGCATTGTCCGTGCGCTACACCCCTACCGAAACAGGACGATCGTGCTGCTGAGAAAGACCATCAGCATTGTGAAATCCCATCCAAGGCAGAATCGCGATCAGGCTCTCTTTGCAGTGCAGGCAGCACTCCGCAAGTAAGGCAAAACAACATAACCGGGTGAAAAAAGGGCGTACATACCGTGCCCTCTTGCCTGGGCACATGGCAACACAATAACGGGCAGGTTTGTGTATGTAAAGCGTAGACAAAGGCGCTGACGTCAAACAAACCGAGCTCTACCAAAACAATTCGAATTGCCACGACGTATAATATTAGGGTACCCGCGAACGGATTACGCAATAACCAACAAATACCAACATGTTTTTGTTCACCTTTGCGGGGTCCAGAGGCGGTGCCTCGAATCCCCGGCAGAGACCACCCGCCTTGCACTCCTCCCCCTCCTCCGGCCCACCCCCTCCTCCTGCCCCCCCTTGCCCCCCATCGGGGTCGGGGACTTGCAGCGGCAACGAGGCGTGCAGGTCGAGGTGGTTGACCGCCAGCCAATGGTTGTGCGCCATCGACAGAGACAGACCGTCGACGAGGGTGCGGGTGCCGCTGCCGGAGCCGGCGGTGCCGCGAGCCCCGCGCGACTCCGAAGCGCCGCGGTAGGCGTTGACGACAATGGCGGCCAGGCCCTGGACCGCGGCCTCCATGTGGATAACCTGATGCAACGACAATGCGTGGGCCGTTGGTGCATGGAAGTTATGGCTTGCCTCTCAGACGGAGGGAAAAAGGGTGATTCTCAACATAATTTTCAGCTGTTCTTCCAAGGACTCTCTAACTTCCAGGAGAGGCAAGGGGGGTTATACCGTGGTATTCGAGATCAGAAGACGCTCTCTCTTTCTCTCTCTGTATCAACACTCTCTCTCTTTGTTTTCTCTATTCTCTGCTTCTGCTTTTCTCTCTCCCCCTCTCCTGCGGTGGCTCAAGGCTTGTCCTGACCTGAGCGATGATGAGGGACTGCCAGCGGTAGTAGACGCCCTGCTCCCCTTCCAGCAGAAACGCGCTGGTGTTGCGCGACAGCGGGAACTCGAGGACCGCGATGTGGGGCCTCGTGACCCACACGCGCACGTCGATGCTCCGGGGGGGCGGCGGCAGCAAAGGCTCTCCCTCCGCTCTCTGTAAGAGTTCGTACGTGAAGAGTGTGCGGTTTACACACCACGAACAAGGTGCCACAGAGCCAACAACAAAAACGTGGGCTAATCCGGCCACCGCAGAAAACCTCGGCAGTCTTGGATCCAAATCAGGGAATGAAAACTGGGTGTCCCTGGGGCGAACAAACAAGCTTTTTCCTGCTATGATCTAAGAAATATACGCAAGTAAAGCTGTCGCCTTCTAATATCGCCTCGGCAACAGCACTGCTGTAACAGCAACAGGGGAAGCGCTCGAGATCGCCTTGGTGCCTACAGCAGACGAAATCACCACGAGGGTTTTTGGTGCATGATGAAAGAGCCTCCGGTCGATCCATCGAACACAAGAGCGGTCATCGACCCCGGGCAGGAATCGTCGAACGACGGACCGAACTGCAACAACATGACCACCCAACAACTATCACCGCCCATGACGGACGGAGAAAACAACCAAACCCCGCGTGCTCAAGAGGGGCACCGGCACCGGCTGTCTCTCTTCTTCATGTGCCAAGGAGCCACCAGTTTAGTTGTGACGGCATGTTTCACTTACAGCTGGCGCTGTTGCGTCGTCAGACGGTTCCTGGGTGGCCGCCGGCTCGGCGGGATCAAGCGTGCCCATAAACCCGTAGAACGGACAGCCGTACGCCTGGACGAAAGAGGGGAAAAGAACCAGGATTGAGGGGAAAAGGACAAGGACAAGAGAACAGAGACAGAACAGAGCGAGATGCACCTTTAACCGTTGGCGGAGAAGGTGATGGCTGCTGTTGTTGGGTTCGATTGAGCGGCAACAACAAAATAAATCAGTGTGAGCGTGGTCCGATGACAAAGATGGGGCATCGAACAGGGGGTGACCTTCGCACGAACGCATTCAAGAGAGAGCAGACGAAACGACGTCACCCGCACCACTACTGTCTTTTTTTGTTAATTCCCCGCGTGCACTCTCGTCGTAAAGCTGGCATGGGCAAATAATCCGTAACGCTTTCTCTTTAAACAGTGTCCAGAAAGACCCAAACACTTCTTCACGTGCAACTGAACAAAAAACGCGAACTCTTCAGCAAATAGTAACTGTGGTCTAGTCGGTATCCTCGAAACCTTCTAGAGGTCAGGTCAGGGGTTCGAATCCCGGCGTAAGCGAGCTTTTCTTGCAAAGTGAGTCTCTCACTTCCGCTCCTGGCCCAGTGGAAAGCGCTAGTTCGCGTGTACAGAGAGGGAAGAGAGTGCTGAACTCTTCTCGCATTAAAAATCAAAGGCAAAGTACCGCAGGAGGGGAGGGTAGAGAGGGGCTCTTCTGCGTGACCACGGGTTGGAGGAGTAAACGGCACTGGTGCTGTGAGCGCTGATTTGAAGTGAAGACAAGCATAAAAGAAAAAAACGTGCATCTGCGTTGATCTTTTCGTCTTTCTCCTCACGTCAGACCGGTGGTAGTTGGAGAAAAAGTCCACGATGAGCCACACCACCGACATCTCCTTGGCATTGATGTCCACACCGTCGACACCGACATTCACGCAAAGCCACATGTCCGGCGCGGTCATGATGAGCGACACCTGCGTACCGCGGACGGTAGGACAGAGGCCAATGAGGGAGTGAGGGGGGGGGAGGGGGGGGGGGGGGGGNGGGGGGGGGGGGGGGGGGGGGGGGGGGGGGGGGGGGGGGGGGGGGGGGGGGGGGGGGGCGTACTCATGTTTTGCACGCCTCAATTGTTAGCCATTGAAAGGGGAGAGGGGGGAGTGCCGCAAACGCAAACAGCACTTCATTCTGTTTGGTGGGCTCATGAGAGTACAGCACACTGTCAAGAAGGGGTCCAATGTAAGATGAAACAAGAGCACCAGCCCGCGCAGCTGACTGCTGCTGCCATCCGCTCGGTGTGGTGGCGTCTCCCAAGCTCAACAGCTCACACAGCTGACATATTTCTTGACTTGACAAGAGTCCAGCGAGAACCTCAACAAACCAAAAAGAACAAAATTACCACATCGGTATAAATCTGTGTCCAGCGGTCTCATGCATACATATACACACCTGCACTGGGAGCGGAAGAGGACTCCCAACCTCCCCCCCCGGACGGAAGTACCCGAACGCGTCGTCCACGAAGGCTTGGACGCACGTGGCCGGCGAGGCGTCGGCGAACTGCGGGGACAGGGGATCGCGTCGACCCGTCCCCTTATCCTCGTGCCCGCCCCCGTCCGCGCGTTGCTCTCCCTCGTCTTCTTGTCGGGCGTTGTCGGCAGACTCCGGCAAAGGGCTGCGAAACCAAAAACAGTAAATTTTGGTTAGTCATGGCGATGGAGAGGAAAGCCCGCGGGGTGTGTTCATTTTACTCAGGACGCAAGCGCGCGCGGGGGGG